TGAGGGCGCATTGTGAATCTGAGTGTGTGTGGTGAGGCGCTAGTGATCTGAGTGTGTGAGGTGAGGCGCTAGTGTCGCTGAGGGGTGTGCGTGAGGTTGAGGCGCTAGTGATCCTGAGTGTGTGAGGTGAGGCGCATAGTGATCCTGAGTGTGTGAGGTGAGGCCTATAGTGCATCCGAGTGTGTGAGGTGAGTGCGTAGTGATCCTGAGTGTGTGAGGTGAGGCATATGATCCTGAGTGTGTGAGTGTGAGGCGCTAGATGATCCTGAGTGTGTGAGGTGAGCACTAGTGATCCTGAGTGATGTGAGTGAGAGGCGCTAGTGATCTGAGTGTGTGAGGTGAGGCTCTGTGATCCTGAGTGTTGTGAGCGTGAGGGCGCTAGTGATCCTGAGTGTGTGAGGTGAGGCGGCGAGTGATCCTGAGTGTGTGTAGGTGAGGCTCTAGTGATCCTGAGTGTGTGAGGTGAGGCGCTAGTGATCATGAGGTGTGTGAGGTGAGGCGCTAGTGATTCCTGAGTGTGTGAGTGAGGCGTAGTGATCTGAGTGTGTGAGGTGAGGCGCTAGTGATCCTGAGTGTGTGAGGTGAGGCGCTAGTGATCCTGAGTGTGTGAGGTGAGGCGCTAGTGATCCTGAGTGTGTGAGGTGAGGCGCTAGTGATCCTGAGTGTGTGAGGTGAGGCGCTAGTGATCCTGAGTGTGTGAGGTGAGGCACTTAGTGATCCTGTGTGTTGTGAGGTGAGGCCTAGTTGTTCCCTGAGTGTGTGAGGTGAGGACTAGTGATCTCTGAGTGTGTGAGGTGAGGCGCTAGTGATCCTGAGTGTGTGAGGTGAGGCGCTAGTGATCCTGAGTGTGTGAGGTGAGGCGCTAGTGATCCTGAGTGTGTGAGGTGAGGCGCTAGTGATCCTGAGTGTGTGAGGTGAGGCGCTAGTGATCCTGAGTGTGTGAGTGAGGCTCTAGTGATCCTGAGTGTGTTGAGGTGAGGCGCTAGTGATCCTGAGTGTTGTGATGTGAGGCGCTAGTGATCCTGGTGTGTGAGGTGAGGCGTTAGTGTCCTGAGTGTAGTGAGGTGAGGCACTAGTGTCTGAGTGTATGGAGGTGAGGCGCTAGTGATCCTGAGTGTGTGAGGTGAGGGCGCTAGTGATCCTGGTGTGTGAGGTGAGGCGCTAGTGACCTGAGTGTGTGAGGTGAGGCGCTAGTGATCCTGAGTGTGTGAGGTGAGGCGCTAGTGATCCTGAGTGTGTGAGGTGAGGCACTAGTGATCCTGAGTGTGTGAGGTGAGGCGCTAGTGATCCTGAGTGTGTGAGGTGAGGCGCTAGTGATCCTGAGGTGTGAGTGAGGCGCTAGTGATCCTGAGTGTGTGAGGTGAGCGCTAGTGATCCTGAGTGTGTGGAGGTGAGGGCACTAGTTGATCCAGAGTGTGTGAGGTGAGGCGCTAGTGATCCTGAGTGTGTGAGGTTGAAGGCACTAGTGATCTTGAGTGTTGAGTGAGGCTCTAGTGATCGAGTGTGTGAGGTGAGGCCGCTGTGATCCTGAGTGTGTGAGGTGAGGCGCTAGTGATCCGAGTGTGTGAGGGTGAGGCACTAGTGATCCTGTGTGTGTGAGGTGAGGGCTTAGTGACATGAGTGTGTGAGGTGAGGCACTAGTGATCCTGAGTGTGTGAGGTGAGGCACTAGTGATCCTGAGTGTGTGAGGTGAGGCACTAGTGATCCTGAGTGTGTGAGGTGAGGCACAGTGATCTGATGTTGTGAGGGTGGGCACAAGTGATCCTGAGTGGGTGAGGTGAGGCACTAGTGATCCTGAGTGTGTGAGGTTGAGGCGCTAGTGATCCTGAGTGTGTATGAGTAGGCCACTAGTGATCCTGAGTGTGTGAGGTGAGGCACAAGTGATTCCTGAGTGTGTGAGGTTGAGGCACTAGTGATTCTGAGTGTGTGCAGGTGAGGCACAAGTGATCTGAGTGTGTGGGTGAGCGCACTAGTGATCTGGAGTGGTGAGGTGAGGCACAAGTGATCCTGAGTGTGTGAGGTGAGGCACTTCCCTGCCTTCCCAAAACTCATCGACTAACCTTTGCAATTTCTCTTCAGAATTCCCCACAAGCACAGTATCATCAGCAAAAAAGTAACTGTGCCAGCTCCCATTTTGAATTAGGCTCCGCATATTTTATTCTGACCTCTCTCCCCAACACCCTAGCATTTACGTCTTTCACAACCCCATTTTTAAATGTATTACATAACCAAAGTGACATCATGCATCACTATGTAGGACCTACTTTTACTGGTAAGTAATCTCCCTCTATCCTACACATCCTAACCTGAGTCTCGCTATTTTCATAAAAACTATTTACAGCATTTAGTAACCTACCACCTACTGCATATATTTGCAACATCTGCCACATTGTTTCCCTGTTCACCTTATCATGTTCCTTTTTTAAATCCAAAAAAGCAAAGATAACTTTCCTATTTTTATCTGAATATTGTTATCTTATATACTTCGATGGCAATACTTGGTCTACACATATAAGCTCAAGGTACCGAAGTGGCACATCTGTACGGCAACGAACCAAGACAATGTCAACACTACAACGAACCACAACAGTGCTAATACGGCAACAAACCAGGACAACGATAATACGGCAACGAATCAGAGCGACAGTAATTCGGCAACATACTAAGAGGGTAATTCAGTAATAAGTCGTCATGACATAATACGGCAATGAACCAGGACAACGATAATACGGCAATGAACCAGGACAACGATAATACGGCAATGAACCAGCACGATGGTATGGAGTGTGTATATTTGGAGTAAACAATGTCCCAGGACCTAAGAATTTCCACAATAAAATTTAAGTGTTTGTACATGTATCTTGAACAGATACTTGCTGGTGTTATATATACAGAGAGAGAAAGAGAGATATGTCATAGATCTGTCATTTCAGCAAAGCCTTCAACACCGGAGGGTTGCGAGTGACCTTACTGTTATGTACAAGGCTAACATTGTCAAAGTACCACACTTGGCTCCACTCTGAGGACAGCCAGCAGCAACTTCACTCTGACTGTACCCTTCTCCAGGACATCACTTCATCTGAGATCATTTATTCCTATGATGACTCAAGTCTGGAACATGTTCGTTCAGTATAATGATACCAACGAAATAAAGTTAGTAGATCATATGAAACTGCTGGCCCACAGATGGGTCCAACTTCATCCTGTTCCCTATTTGTTTGTATCATAATATTAAAGAGACTTTCAAGAGAGAGAGAGAGAGAAAGAGAGAGAGAGAGAGAGAGAGAGAGAGGAGAGAGAGAGAGAGAGAGAGAGAGAGAGAGAGAGAGAGAGAGAGAGAGAGAGACGATATGAAAACTTGAGAAACAACTAAGTGAGATCTCACCAGCTGGAGAATAAAGAGGCGGAGATGAACTGAATAGTCATTATAATGTCCACGAATCCAATAATAATTTATAGAAAATTAATTTTGCTATTATTTAAGAGGCAGGGAGGAGGATACTCAACACCCTCAACAACAACTAGGTGAGCACACACTCTATTGCATACACAGCACGGTTTCAGGGAAGGGAAATCCTATGCAATAAACCTATTGGAGGTTATGACAAGACAGAATTAAGACAGGAGAGGGAGAGGTGGGGAGTAGACTGCATTTTCTTGGACTGTAAGAAGGCTTTCGACACGGTTCCACACAAGAGATTAGTGCAAAAGTTATAGGAGAAGGCACGTATAACAGGAAAGGCACTGCAATGGCTCAGGGAATGCATGACAGTAAGGAAACAACGAGTAATGGTATGTGACGAGGTGTCAGAGTGGGCACAGGTGACGAGCGGGGATCCATATGGGTCAGTCCTAGGGCCGGTGCTGTTTCTGGTATATGTGAATTACATGACGAAAAGAATAGATTCAGACAATGTGAAGCTTATGCGGAGAGTCAAATGGACGAGGATCAGGTAGGACTACAAAGAGAATTGGAAAAGTTGCAAGCCTGGTCCAACAAATGGCTCCTGGAGTTTAACCCCACCAAGTGCAAAGTCGTCAAGATTGGGGAGGTCAATGAAGACCGCAGACTGGGTACATGCTATGAGGTCAAAGGCTGCAAATCTCACTCAAAGAAAAGGATCTTGGGGTGAGTATCATACCGAGCACATCTCCTGAGGTGCACATCAACCTAGTAACTGCTTCATCATATGGGCTGACACCTAAGTAAGGAGTCATTCACGACATTATATCGCGTACGTCAGGCCGATGTTGGAGTATACAGCACCAATATGGAACTTACAGTTGGTCAAGCACGTCAAGAAATTAAAGAAAGTGGAAAAGATTACAACAAGACTAGTCCCGGAGCTAAGGGAACGTAACCTGATTGACGACATTGGAGGACAGGAGGGATGGGGGGCATGATAACGACGTATAAAATATTGAGAGGAATTATCAAGGTGGGCAGGTACAGAATGTTTCAGAGACATGACACGGGAACAAAGGGACACAACTGGAAGTTAAAAACTTAGGTGAGTCATAGTGATGTTAGGAAATATTTCTTCAGCCTTAGAACACTCTGGGGAGTGAAGTAGTGGAGACAGGATCCATACATAGCTTTAGGAAGGGGTACGACACACACACACACACACACACACGCACACACACACGCACACACACACACACACACACACACACCCACACACACACACACACACACACACACACACACCCACACACCCACACACCCCACACACATACACACACACACACACACACACACACACACACACAACACACACACACACACACACACACACACACACACACAGAGGTATGATAACGCTCACGGTTCAGGGAGAGTGACCTAGTAGCGACCAGTGAAGAGGCGGGGCCAGGAGCTCGGACTCGACCCCTGCAACCTCAACTAGGTGAGTACACACACACACACACATGTACACATATCAATGTATGTTAAATGTATTTTCAACAAAGAACTAGTGAATAAGTTGGTGTTACAGGTGCAGTGTTTACGTCCAGCTGCCGTATAGTCCGCGGGGATCCCAGGTTGTGCAGGTGGCCTCCTGGACACCTCGTCGTGGCCTCCTCCTCACCTCACACCTCCCACTCTTCCCAGAAAAGTTCTCTAAGTGAGTACAAGAAAAGATTTCTAAATACAAGTTTATTTCCACATGATATATTGTTTATACAGGAATGAGTGATATTTGATTGCATGGAGAAAGACCATGATTATGGAGAGCATGGTAAAATTTTTGAATGGATTAAGGGAAACTGGTTGTTATTCTGACTTAAGTCTGGAGCTGGGAAATTAGTTTCTGAACTCTTAAGGATGGGTTTGGGTTGTTGCAGTTTAGAGGGTCATTCTTATTGTGATGAAGCACTTCTGGCAAGATGACAATTGAATAAGTGACGCTGATGGCCTAAAGAAGTAAATACGTTTACTTTTTGGGCCATCCTTCCATGCTGGGACCTGGACCTGTTTGAGAAACATGTACAGAGGAATCTCGTTTAGTGGACCCTCTGCAGATGAAGTCACGGGGAGAAGCATTGTGATTCGTCCCAACCCTTTGAAATGAGAAATCATCTTGATAAACTAGGAAATAACTACTTTGGTTAGAACCATCATACTAAAAGCCTCAACTACCATCATACTAGAAGCCTCAACTTTCATCATACTAGAAGCTTTAACTACTGCTGTGTTGTCAGGTTATCGACACAGTCTACGACGACAAACCGAATGACCTGAAGAGAACAGAGAAGAGAATGAGTGATTTGAATGCCTATAATTCCCTGTATCATCTCACAAGGTGTTCAGCTCTTCCCAGACTAACCAGTTTTATCATATGCAGACACTCCTTCGCCTAGATGGCGGCATCATGCTACCCTGGAAATACAGTGCGTGTACACCGGCTGACACCTGACTACAATACTCTGAAGATGGAGAGGGTAATGCCAGTAAAAGGAGTCAGAGAAGATCGACAAATACTGCTATACCATGCTATAACTTATTCCCAATAGGATCATAGGCCCTCGGAGTATGGAGCAAGTGTGCTCTTAGGTTTTTGAAAAAGTCGGGTGACAAAGTCATCACGGAAACCAAGGAGCCCAGAGGTACTAACTTCCTTTTCTAGAGACTCAGTCTTGCAGTCTAGAGAGGCAATGCTTGCAACATTCTGGGCATACAGTCAACCGCCGGAGCTAGATGAAGTGTTCCAGATATAGGATCTATAATGTATTTTGAATTATTTTTTTATTAAGGTTCAAAAACATTGCGTACTGGGAATGGCAAGGAAAGAAAATACTCAGAAAAGTTCAAGGGAGAAAACTACATAGTTTTCCCCGAAGTAGGTTTATTCTCTTGTCTGAGGCTGTGGGCCCCTAGTAAGTGCTTCCCTCTGATTATCTCTCTCTCTCTCTCTCTCTCTCTCTCTCTCTCTCTCTCTCTCTCTCTCTCTATGGGAAGTACAATGCATGCATTTTAAAGGAAGGGTTTGGGATATTGGCAGTTTGGAGGGATATGTTGTGTATCTTTATACGTATATGCTTCTAAACTGTTGTATTCTGAGCACCTCTGCAAAAACAGTGATAATGTGTGAGTGTGGTGAAAGTGTTGAATGATGATGAAAGTATTTTCTTTTGGGGGATTTTCTTTATTTTTTGGGTCACCCTGCCTCGGTGGGAGACGGCCGACTTGTTGAAAAAAAAATATGTATATATATATATATATATATATTATATATATATATATATATATATATATATATATATATATATATATATATATATATATATATAAATATATATATATATATATATATATTATATATATATATATATATATATATATATATATATATATATATATATATAAATACATGCATATATAATACAACACTGAAAATAGAATACATTAAACAAGAAAACCTGAGCTCTTTCATATACGTATATACATATTTTCAGAGGAATAAATATGTGTGAAGATGAATGTGTAAACACTTGAAACAGTCTGGTTTTCCTATTTATTTTTTCCCCTGTGGTTTTTTATGGATTTACAGTCACGCTTTTCTATGCGATTTCTTCCAACTGGTCAAGCATACACAATTTTTGAAGTAAATGGAAAACAGCACGAATATGTTAATGATATAAGAAAAAACATAGTAATAATAATAATAACAATAATAATAAGTAATTTTCCAAGACGTACCTCCACTTCCTCGCAGGTTCCACCATAGACCAAATTTGCTGGTGGCGATCGAGGAGTCTGGCTTCGGTAGACTAGTAACGGTAAATGACCCAAGTTCCGGGGCTCCCAGGGTTCAGTTCCAGGGCTCCTTGGTAAAGCTGATAGAATACCTCTCTGGTGCCCTTAACTTCACGTAAGTAACCACCATCATAACTGGTAACTAGTCACAGTTTGTGGCATTCTTGAACCTCTACGGATGAAAGAATATCGCGGTAGGTGCGTCACTTATCACTTTCCGCGGTGCAGTCAGCGGAGCCTTGGACTGGCCACTGCCAAACGACGGGTTCGAATCCTGTTAATCCCATTGGTTTATTTCATTAATTTATTACAAATTTTAAACATGCAGCTAGTATACTTTTAAATGTAATGAATCACATGTCTGGAGTTAATGTGTAACATCCATGTTACGTTATACATTTGTATGTGTATCTCTCCAGGTACTCCCTCGTGCGACCTCCTGACAGAGTCAGGGGTGTTAGACTGGATAATGGTTCATGGTCTGGCATGATGGGCATGGTGGTCAGGGAGGTCAGTGTAGTGAAGCATTGTTTCAAGTGTATATTTTATAACCAGTGATAAATAAAAAATACACATTTACTGTCTCCTACTTAGTTTGGCTTTTAATATGTTCCCATATATACTCACTGAGGTAGAGAGGTCAGGTTAAGCAGCCTGCACACTCACCTACCTTCAATGTTATTTGGATGTTGCACTGCCCATTTGTAAGTTGTTTTCCGTCATTCTATAATATTAGTTTGAAAAGGTATAAGCCACGGCACGGGCGGGGATCGAACTCGCCCGTACCGTGGTTTGTTTACAATCGTGTCATTACGATTTCTTGTCATGAAAAGGTATTACAGTGGAACCTCAAATATCGAACTTAATCCGTTCCAGGAGTTAGTTATAAATTCGAAAAGTCTGAAAATCGAAGCAATATTTCCCATAAGAAATAATGGAAATACAATTAATCCGTTCTAGAAACCCAAAAATATTCACAAAAAATACATTTTATAGAGATTAATTACAGTTTTACATACACACAACAAATACTATAGTGCTCAATTATGTATATATATATATATATATATATATATATATATATATATATATATATATTATATATATATATATATATATATATATATATATATATATATATATATATATATGCAATAAGATCACAGTAAACAGGTGATTTTAAAATATGCAAAACAACCACTGTCTGTTTTCTCATCAATGTTTTTGAGAGCTTTACGTATTTGTAGTCCAGAGTTCATAGATGAAGAAATATCCAAAATTTATGAAATAGCCAATGATCTGAAATACCCGAGAAATGTAATTGATAAATCATTTAAAATTGCTAGAAATGCTTTTTACAACCCAAAATGGGACAACCAACCTTATTCAACTAAAAATATGTTGGCTCTCCCTTACCATGAAAACTTGGTTGATATGCCTTCTCTTCTTAAGACTTTTAATATTAAAGTTGTATTTAAAAATCTTGATACAGTAAAAAACTTTTGATAAAGAATTCCCCCCAAAATGCTGATGGATGTGTCTATAAGATTCCTTGTAAAATTTGCGATAAAGTTTATTACGGTCAAACTGGTAAAAGTCTCGAACTTAGATTAAAACAACATAAATATAGCATTAGAACTGGACAAGATTCCAATGCTCTGTTTATTCATGTGAGAGACTTTAACCATCCAATTGATTTTCAAAAAGTTGAGAAAGTTGTATCAAGCAAGTCCATGGTTGACAGAAATATAATTGAGTCTTGTTTAATAAAGAGCAGTTTTGAAAATAATATGAATATTTCCTCAGGTTTATATAAATTAGACTCATTTATAATTAATAAAATTTGGTTAGAGTTTAATAATACATTGGACAAATAATAAACCTTATTTCTTGGGTAGAATATTTTGTTAGTGGGATGTCGTGAGGACCTGTCTAGTTGGACCAGCGGACCTACTGCAGTGTTCCTCTTTTCTTATGAGTCCGGTATTGTCCCGCGTCAGGTGTTTCTTTGTTGTGGGGGTTGGCTGTGAGGTGTAGTCTAAGCCCTTTAATTGTCTTCCTTTGATGTATTACTTTCATAGTTCCTTGACAATGTGAGTAGTCACGAAAGCACTTGGAATTTCACTACTCTTTCACAGTGGTTGTTTTTCATATACATATATATATATATATATATATATATATATATATATATATATATATATAAAATATATATATATATATATATATATATATATATATATATATATATATATATATATAATATTTTTACTTACCTTTATTGAAGATTGATGATGGCATCTGGAAGATAGGGAGGAGGAGAGAGGGAACTGGGGTTAGTGTTTGGAAGGAGAATCCCCCTCCATGAGGATATCAGGTAAAGACCTCTCTGGAGTTGCTTCCCTTCTCTGTCTTTTAATGCTACTAGGACCAGCTTGAGAGTCACTGGACCCCTGTTTCACAAAATAACTATCCACAGTCCTCTGTTTTTGGTGCCTCTTTAATATTTCCCTAAAATGGGACATGGTTCTGTCACTGAACTGGTTCCAGGAGTTTTCTGTACCAGATCGGCATGCAACTTCCTTGCCTTTTCAAAAATAATCGTCTGTGAAACACTATCACCTACCATCTCTTTATCCTTGATCCACACCAGCAACAACTTCTCAACCTCTTGAACTATTTGTGGTCTTTTTTTGGTTAGCATATTAACACCTTTTGCAACATCGGCTTCCTTGATTTGTTCTTTCTTTGCCAGGATAGAACTGATGGCCGACTTGTTTTTCCCATACATCCTGACAAGCTCAGCAAGTCTCACACCTCTCTCATGCTTCTCTATTATTTCCTTCTTCACATTTATGATGTTTCTCACTTTCATTACTTCAGGGGTACCACTAGCAAGTTTCTTTGGGCCCATGATAGCTTATTTCACAGTCCCAGAAGCACTAAACACAATGTTTGAATGAGAGCGCAGGTTAGTGTTCACTCATGCATCAACAAAGCCAGACCGGCTCACGGCGCCTGCGTGGGGACGCGGACAGAGAGGGCTGGCGGACAGGTCCGGTACCCGGCGGTCCGAAAATAGGGGCATGTTCGATAATAAGAACAAAGTTGGTTCGGAAAAAGGTTTCTATTTTTGAAATGTTCGATAAGTGATGCGTTCAAAATTTGAGGTTCCACTGTATCTAAATTTTGTGAAGGTTGTTGTTATGTATAGTTGCTTCCAACATGTTAATTAATAAAATATTTTATTATGTAAAATAAGAACCATTTTGGTAGTTTTATAAAATTTTCTACAGGAAGTAAGTATCGGTGCTGGACCTTTCATGGTTGATAGATGGCGAGCCGAGGCGGTGGACTTCACTGTACCAATGTTGATAGATTACTGGAGGATCCTGGGGGTCCGAGGTCTTCCTGAAGTGGACCCCTGGGGCTTCCTGTTCCCCCTGGCACCACTGGTGTGGGCGACCATCCTGGTGATGCTGGTGATGCTTGCTGCTGCAGTGTTCCTCATGTATTCCTGCGGCTCTCTCAAGAGTGACGACCAAAACAACTGGTCACACGTTACCTTCGGCTACGTTCGGATATTATTACAGCAAGGTAAGTTTTTTCTTCTCTTGAATCCTCTTCTAAGTTTTTCAACATCTCTTTATCTCTATTTTTTTCTCAGAATTCTGGGTTATTTATATTTTTTTCAGCCATTCTATTGTGGCTTTGCCACAGTAGAGTGGGCTTGGATTACAGAAATTGCAGAGCTTGTTTACTATAAAGTTGTTTACTAAAATGTTAATATTTTTGTGAATTAATAGGACACAAGCGCAACTAATGTGGCATTTTGTTATGGCAACGTTTCGCTCTCCAGGAACTTTATCAAACAGGTAATATTTTTTCTGCGTATCACTTACATGTAATTACCATGTAATTACTACCTTCACGATCAGGGACTTACATGATCTAACATTCAACTTCACTAAAATTTCCCGCGTTATAAACTGAATCTTCACAACACAAATACCGTAGTCAGATGAAGATTAAGAAGAGACAATATTAAGAGAAAAAAGTTACGCAGCTATTATAAATATATTTTTAAAAGTATTGGAAACGCTTGAAGTTCGATATTTATCGAGGGACTTCACACTCTGATCTCCCAGGTGAGAGTGCAGTGTATCTCAACCCGGCCCTGCCGATTGGGTTTTACGACGCGGAGGCATCAATTTACGAAGTGCAGTGAACTTCTTTTTCTGATGAGCATTAATAGAAAAAAAGATAACATCAGGAAATAGGGTAGAACTCTGTAAATTTCCATAACTGACGGAGAAGGAGACGGAAGCTGATCATAAACAAGAGTTTAGATAAATATATCTAAGAGAAAGTATAAAATTAGTTTGCAAGGAGACGGTGGCTGGTGAAAGATGGCATTTTGGAGAGGAAAAGTTTGTGCAATATCGTGTGAAAAGTTTAGCTTTTAGATAATTGAATCGGTGCCCCGCGGTCTGGTGGCTAAAGCTCTTGCTTCAAACGGCGAGCGTCCTGGTTCGATTCTCGGCGAGGGTAGAAACATTAGGCGTATTTACTTCTACTGGTTGTCTATGTTTACCATCAGTAAAATGGGTACCTGGGAGTTAGTGGACTGGTGTGGGACGCGTCCTGACACAAAACTGACCTAATTTGTCAGAAATGCTCTGCATAAAAGACTTGGCAGACGATGCACCATCCCCCCAATGAAAAGCAGGTGTGTCACTAGCACGTTAAGAGACCATACAATAAGTGTCAGGGGCCCGAGACTGTTCAACTGCCTCCCAGCATACATAAGGGGGATTACCAACAGACCCCTGGCAGTCTTCAAGCTGGCATTGGACAAGCACCTAAAGTCAGTTCCTGACCAACCAGGCTGTGGCTCGTACGTTGGTTTGCGTGCAGCCAGCAGCAACAGCCTGGTTGATCAGGCTCTGATCCACCAGGAGGCCTGGTCACAGACCGGGCCGCGGGGGCGTTGACCCCCGGAACTCTCTCCAGGTAAACTCCAGGTAATAACAAGTGTCTTTCTATACAGTAGTTTGTCATTGATGTCAGCTATGGTCTGTATACCTTGTACATGTACTTGTAGAAATAAAGATATTATTATCATTATCCTGATAAACAGGGATTATACATGAAATATACGTGTGCGATTCCTGTCCAGCTTAGAGTGATATAGAGGATATTCATATGTCAAGCTGACAGCAGTGATCTCCTGTACAAGAAAAAACGTGTTTACCTTTACTGATTGGTGAAAAATTGACTAATGATAACAGGATGATCGAAGCACCTGTTAGAGAAGCATTAAATCTGTGAAAGAGAGAGAGAGAGAGAGAGAGAGAGAGAGAGAGAGAGAGAGAGAGAGAGAGAGAGAGAGAGAGAGAGAGAGAGAGAGAGAGAGAGAGAGAGAGAGAGAGAGAGAGAGAAACATTACTAGCTATTCCCTCCATGTTTATGTAACAATTTCTATTACTGCTTCATCACTTTACTACTTCCACCTCTCTGGATCCCCTGTATAAGTCTCCTTCTCGTGTCTATGTTTCATACTGATAAAGCACCTGGTGGACACAACGTCTCTCAGATAAACAAACCCTTGTAGCCTTTTTTTTTATAGATACACAGATCAACTCTACAGGCAAAGAGCTGTTACCTACTTCAGCTCTTCATCAAAGTCATATCTAAAGCACTCTAGCACCCTCCTCAGATGTGTTTTTTTTTTTTTTTTTTTTTTTTTTATTCGCCGGTATTCTCCCGGCCCGGGTCTTTTCCAAGTAGTGGTGACCCGGCCTTGGCTCCCTATCTGGGGAGTGTCTCGAGACTTAAGTCTCCCATGGGAGGAGGTACAAGTACCCCCTCATCTTTGGGACCAACTGTCCCCAGGCCTAGCCACATTCCCCGCCCTCACGGGGCTCGTAGGGAGAAGCTAGGCCTCTGGTCTGCCATCTGCCCCGCCCTAAAAGGGCTCGTGGGGATGGCAGTCTTATGAGCTGCAGATGGTCCACAACAGTCGACTAACACCCAGGTACTAGCGTATTGCTTGGTAAACAGGAGAAGCAGGTGTAAGGAAACGGGTTTGATCCCCTTGCCGGGGATCAAACCGCTGAACCTCAGGATGTTAGCTGAGTGCTCTGCCATCTGAGCCACGGGACACCTGTGTCCTTCGTCAACTTGTCAACATCATGTAATTTTGTATACAGTGCAGATAAGACGGTGCTTAATATACCAGAGGTGGGAGCGGGTGGTGCTGTTGGTGTGGATGATGGTGACTCTGGTGGTAACTTGGAGATACTTTGGCAATTATTACAGATATGACGCTGCCTATATACTGGTGGTGGGAGCGGGTGGTGTTGATGGTGTGGATGATGGTGACACTGGTGTTAACACGGAGTTACTCTGGCAACCTCATGGCTCTCCTGGCAGTGAGACACATCCCTCAACCTTACCAAACACTACGAGACGTGATGGACGACCCATCTGTTAAGATGATATGGGAAAAAGACTCTGCGCCTGTCCTTTATCTGAAAGTACGTGATGTAAACTTTGAACCTCAATTTTGCTGCAGTGTAATTACATATTATATTAGGAATAAACGTATATATAAATACGTATTAAAAACACAGTCAAAAAATGAAATGTAAAAACCTGAGCGATTGCATGTACTTACACATATTTGAGAGTAATAGGAAGGAGAGATAAGAGAAACAGTTTACAATAGTGTGTATATTAGTTGGGACAGTGATGAAAGAAGACATTTATGAAGTCCATGTTTATTTGAAAATACACAGCAATGATATGACATAATTGATCTAATATTAGATATGAGTTTCCTTTGCTTTTATAAGCATTGTTACGCTCTTTGGCAGAGAATCGACCAGTGTTGAAAATATTTTAGCCAAGTTCTTCGTCGTGGAACATGGTCGTAATAACGACAGCAATTAGCATTTCCACAATTGAACTGTCCTGTTTCGCGATCCTGTGTTTGATTAGCTAAGATTACTTGCAAGTGTAGGTAATATAGATATTATTGGTATAACAGAGACCTGGCTCAACCTGAAAGATAGACAAATGCCTTCTGAATGCAACATACAGGGTTATAAACTATTCCACACTGATAGGGTCAACAGGAAGGGTGGTGGTGTGGCGATGTATGTCAGAGAAAATTTAAATTGCTATCTTAGACATGATATAAGATTAGAAACATCGAACACAGAAATCTGTTTGGCTACAGTTTCTCGAGAGTCGTGACAAATTAATTTTGGTGTGATTTATAGTCCTCCAAACCTTGATAGGGAGTGCAGTAAGCTGTTATGGGACGAAATTCATAAGACATCTATGATAATGGGAGATTTTAACTTAGACAAATTGACTGGAACAATATGACAGGAAATCTTGAGTCTAGTGACTTTCTTGATACGGTTCAGGATTGCTTTTTAGAACAGGTTGTGACAGAACCAACTAGAGGAAACAATCTGCTTGACTTGGTTCTTGCAAACAAAGATTCACTAATTAATAATCTTGAGGTTAATGATGAGTTTGGGGAAAGCGATCACAAATCACTTAGTTTCAATATATCATGGAATTACCCAGATAACTGCGATCAAATCTCTGTCCCAGACTTTCGCTTGGCCGACTTCATGGGACTGAAAAATTACCTGGGTGGGCTAAATTGGGATGTCCTGACTATGGGTCAGGTAGGTGATCTTGGTTGCCAGTATGACTTTTTCAGAGCATAGTTCTAGCTGCCCAGGCAACTTTTGTTCCGAGTAGGGAAATTAGATCTAACAAAAATGATCCCAAATGGATGAACAATAGATCAAAACATCTCATTGGTCAAAAGAGAGGCATATATAGGCGTATCAAAAGAGGGGATGGGCAGTTAAGAAATCAATATATTCGATTAAAGAGAGATAAAAAGAAAGGAATAAGAAAAACAAAAAGGGATTATGAGGCTAAGGTCGCAAGGGATTGAAAGACTAACCCAAAAGGGTTCTTTCAGGAATACGGAAGTAAGATTAGGGACAAGATTGGCCCACTTAAGAGTAACTCTGGTCAGATCACTGACAGTGATAAGAATATGTGTGAAATTCTAAATACCTACTTCCTCTCAGTTTTCACCCAAGAAAATACTAGCGATATTCCTGAAATAATAGATTATGTAGAATAGGATGATAATAAACTATGTACGATTGCAGTAACTAGTGACATGGTCCTCAGACAAATAGAGAAACTAAAACCTAACAAATCTCCAGGCCCTGATGAACTGTTTGCAAGGGTGTTAAAGGAATGTAAAGAGGAACTTAGCATACCTTTGGCTAATCTTTTTAACTTATCACTACAAACTGGCATAGTGCCTGATAAGTGGAAAATGGCAAATGTAATACCTATTTACAAGGCAGGTGACAGGTCCTTGGCTTCGAACTATAGACCAATAAGCCTTACCTCCATAGCGGGAAAATTTATGGAATCAATAATTGCCGAAGCAATTCGTAACCATCTTGAGAGGCACGGTTTGATTAATGAATCTCAACACTGTTTTACAAAGGGGCGTTCCTGTCTTACGAATTTACTAATTTTTTTTCACTAAGGTGTTTGAGGAGATAGATCATGGTAATGAATATGATATTGTGTATATGGACTTCAGTAAGGCTTTCGATAGAGTTCCACACCAGAGGCTATTAATGAAACTTAAGGCACACGGAATAGGAGAAATTTTTTCCTGGGTAGAGGCATGGTTGACATGGGGAGAAATCAAAATGGGGGTACGTCACAAGCGGTGTTCCACAGGGGTCAGTGTTGGGCCCGTTGTTGTTCACAGTTTACATAAACGACATAGATGAGGGAATAAATAGCGACATAAGCAAATTTGCTGATTACACCAAAATAGGCCGTCCAATTCATTCTAATTAGGACACTAGAGCACTCCAGGATGATTTGAATAGACTGATGCAATGGTCGAAGAAGTGGCAGATGCATTTTAATATTGACAAATGCAAAGTTCTAAATGTTGGACAGTGAAATAACCATGCCACATATAAACTAAATAATGTAGATCTTAATACTACTGATTGCGAAAAGGATTTAGGAGTTCTGGTTAGCAGTAATCTAAAACCAAGACAACAGTGCATTAGTGTTCGCAATAAAGCTAACAGAATTCTTGGCTTCATATCTAGAAGTATAAATAATAGGAGTCCTCAGGTTGTTCTTTAGGCCTCATTTAGAATATGCTGCTCAGTTCTGGTCACCGTATTACAGAATGGATATAAATGCTCTGGAAAACCTACAGAGGAGGATGACAAAGATGATCCCATGTATCAGAAATCTTCCCTATGAGGATAGACTGAGGGCCCTGAATCTGCACTCTCTCGAAAGGCGTAGAATTAGGGGGGATATGATTGAGGTGTATAAATGGAAAACAGGAATAAATAAAGGGGATGTAAATAGCGTGCTGAAAATTTCCAGCCAAGACAGGACTCGCAGCAATGGTTTCAAGTTGGAAAAATTCAGATTCAGGAAGGATATAGGAAAGCACTGGTTTGGTAACAGAGTTGTGGATGAGTGGAACAAACTCCCGAGTACAGTTATTCAATCTTAAACGTTGTGTAGTTTTAAAAATTGGTTAGATAAATACATGAGTGGGTGCGGGTGGGTGTGAGTTGGACCTGACTAGCTTGTGCTGCTGGGTCTGGTGCAGTGCTCCATCCTTCAGTGAAGGTGACCAGACTGGGTGGGTCATTGGGCTAATCCGGGGGGTGGGTCATTGGTCTAATCCGGGGGGACATGGAACTGCTCCGCATGGGTCAGTAGGCCTGTTGCAGTGTTCCTTCTTTATTATGTTCTTATGTTCTTACTGTAGATAGAGTCTCAGTTTGGCTGAGGTCAGCTGAATTTCCAGGCCAATTTAGAACGCAGTGAGGTAACACCTGACTGAGGTAGGTAACATCTGACTGAAACAGGTAACGCCTGATTGAAGTAGGTAACACCTGATTGAAGTAGGTAACACCTGACTGGGATAAGTGACAACTGACTGAGGTAACACCTGACTGAGGTAACACTTGCCTGAGGTAACACCTGACTATGGTATCACCGTCTCTAGGTGAGGGTCCACTTCACTTTGTAGCGTACAATGTGCTTCTCTTGCCTCTCTTTCCTATTTCTCTGAAGACATCTGCGTAAGCACATGAAAACACTCAGGTTTTCCTGTTTTTCGCTGTTTTTTTTTATTTTTTGCAGTCAAGCATGCATTTATTGTGATTTATTCCATACACACACAATATATATATATATATGTCGTGCCGAATGGGTAAAGCTGGTCAATTAGCAAGAACTCATTTAAAATTAAGTCCTTTCTAAAAATTTTCTCTTATATAATTAAAGATATATTTTTCTCATTTATGTTAATATAAAATTTAGTGATTTTATACCAAAGAACCTTAGAAAACTTACTTAACCTAAAATTGCGCTTGTTATAGTAAAGTAAGTTTTCTAAGGTTCTTTTGGTAGAAAATCACTAATTTTTATGTTAACACCCGTCAAGGGAGGTTCCTTGACGTTGATGAGGGGCTCTTGATCTAGGGAATTGGCTCTGTGCTCCAGTTCCCTGAATTAAATCTGAATACTTTCCCACATCCCCCCACAGGCGCTGCATAATCCTACGGGTTTAGCGCTCCCCCATGATTATAATAATAATAATAATAATAATAATAATAATAATAATAATAATAATAATAATAATAATAATAATAATAATTATATTAACATAAATGAAAAATATATATATTTAAATGTATAAGAGAAAATTTTAGAAAGGACTTAATTTTAAATGTGTTCTTGCTAATATAAAAATTAATAATTTTGTACCAAAAGAACCTTAGAAAACTTACCTAACCTTATTATAACAAGCGGAACTTAATTAAGCCTAATCCAACTAAATATATTTTAGATAAGTTTACAATAATTTAATAATAAACAAACACAACGAAATATATATTTTCTCGTTAGATTCTGAATGATTTTTGCGAAATTATTGAATACACAAATTTTCTCTTGCCTTATTTGGCAAGAAGAGCATTGCTATTTAATCCAAAATAGCAAGTTTTACTTATTTGGAAAGACATCTATATATATATATATATATATATATATATATATATATATATATATATATATATATATATATATTATATATATATATATATATTATATTATATATCTTACTTTTCATATTATTATTATTATTATAATCAAGGGGGAAGCGCTAAACCCGGAGGATTATACAGCGCCTGGGGGGGGGGATGTGGAAGGCATTCAGGCTTAATTCGGGGAACTGGAGCACAGATCCAATTCCCTAAATCAAGAGCCCCTCACCAACATCAATTACTTTTCATAGTCAGCGAAGTCTGGTATATACCGGGAGATAGCTGATGCAGAGAAGACTGGTCGAGTTATATATATACCACATCTGCAGTTCCCTGAAGTTATTGACAGTTTGGTACGACGAGGTGACCACGTCCTGGTGGACGTTCATGACGGTGTTAAGTCTAATATTGCTCAAGACTTTACGAAAACAGGCGAGTTTAAGGAAAAACATTTGTTTTGCTTTTTGTTAAAAATTTAATGCCAATTTTCATATACGTACTAAATATATACGTATATTGGTTACTGATGTATAGGCCTATGAATTAATGTGAAAGTTGTGGGTTGATTCTGCTTCTTATACTTATGTAATAGTTCATTCGATTTGAAGTGAGAAAGCAGTAAGTGCCGACAGCTAGAAAAACTAGACATGAATGCATACACTTATGACACCTTTATTGAAGATGCTTCTGTCGTTGGACCTTGATCACTACAAGTCATGGGAAGCTACGTGTTTGGTGGCAGGAGAGAGAGAGAGAGAGAGAGAGAGAGAGAGAGTAGTGATGGGGTCAAGCAGAGGATGTCGGATGTGGAGAAGGGTTTATCTTTATTATCTTATTTATCTTATTTATCTTATTAACGTTCTAAAATCATGTGGTTAACGCTAAGGTTGTGGAAATGTCATAATTGTTAGCTTCCTGAACGATGATCTCGGAGGTGCTGATGAGTGACGGTTCAAAGCACCAGCTTTGCCTCACATCTCATTCCCTCGAGATCATATTTGCAGATTTCAGATGCACTAGATGTTCCTAGTAGTGTTTGTGTGCATGACGCAGGCCTTGCTAGTATTATCCATGCTGCAGACTTATTTGAATTCATAAATTCTAGTGGATAAGTCCCTCCTTGTTTTACCCTATGTAAATCTTGTTGCACTCCCCACACGGGATGATTTGTTCCTCCTCCTCCTGCCTTCCTACTTTCCTCTTAATCCAAACACCATGAGAGCTCTGTGACTCGTATCCTTTTCTTTGTCTCATCCAAAATTCCTTCTGATTCTTTAGCTATTCAGGGTTATTTATTGTTTCTATTTTCTTCTTCTTGACTTTCTGATCATATGTTAATTCTGCATATACTTTCCCTATTTAAGTCTCTCTCTCTCTCTCTCTCTCTCTCTCTCTCTCTCTCTCTCTCTCTCTCTCTCTCTCTCTCTCTGGTCTGTCTCCAGTTGATGTCTTGTTTCACATTTTCACTTCCATGTATCGTAGTTATCCTTCCTTGTTCCTCTTCCCGCACAAGTGGACGAGTTTCCTGTACTTTCTTCACCCAACATAATCACTAATTCCTATTTTATTCATATTATCGTTGTAGTTTACAAGTGGGATGATTTGGTACGCGTGTGTCTGTGTTGCACGTGTAGGTTACAATAGCTTTTGTGTGTTAAAGTTGTATGCAGACCAAGAGCTGTGTTCCACTCTCTGGGTGTGCTTGTGATCTTAGAAAGAATTTTTTCAAAGCAAGTGGTGGTTGCAAAAAAAATACCTTTATCATTTTCCAGCTTAATCGCCCAATATCAACAATCAAATAAGATTAAAAATCAAATTCAAATGTTTATTTCTCCATATAAATTACAATGTGTTTTTTACATATTAAAAAATAATTATAAAAAATAAAGTAATTATTACAAAGAAGAACACTAGTAGGCCTAGGTATATCAGGCAGACTTACACTATTTCTTACTCTATATTGACACAGGTCATGAACCATACTGGTATTAAAGTGAGGCAGCTGCAGTGAGTAACTAGATCTACAAAAGTGAGGTAGTTTAAAACATTTAAAAAATTAACAGTTAGTTTGTCAATTAATGGGAATGATCTGGTCTTGGGATGGTAGAGTTTGTATTGACGCTCCTGTAATGAAGTGTCTTAGACAACCTTATGACTCACTTAAGACTCGTGTAGCAGAAGCTGTATTCACAATGCTATGTTGACAGTCATTAGTGTAAATTAGTATAAATTAAGGGAAGTGTATTTGTATTTTGTTGGATATGTGCCAGCTTAGGAAGTTGTTATGTGGTTAGTTACTGGTGGGGTGTGTTAGGTACCAGTGGGTGTGTTAGGTACCAGTGGGGTGTGTTAGGTACCAGTGGGGTGTGTTAGGTACCAGTGGGGTGTGTTAGGTACCAGTGGGTGTGTTAGGTACCAGTGTAGTGTGTTAGGTACCAGTGGGGTGTGTTAGGTACCAGTGGGGTGTGTTAGGTACCAGTGGGGTGTGTTAGGTACCAGTGGGGTGTGTTAGGTACCAGTGGGGTGTGTTAGGTACCAGTGTAGTGTGTTAGGTACCAGTGGGGTGTGTTAGGTACCAGTGGGGTGTGTTAGGTACCAGTGGGTGTGTTTAGGTACCAGTGGGGTGTGTTAGGTACCAGTGGGGTGGTTAGTTACCAGTGGGGTGTGTTAGGTACCAGTGGGGTGTGTTAGCTACCAGTGGGGTGTGTTAGGTACCAGTGTAGTGTGTTAGGTACCAGTGGGGTGTGTTAGGTACCAGTAGGGTGTGTTAGGTACCAGTGGGGTGTGTTAGGTACCAGTGGGGTGTGTTAGGTACCAGTGGGGTGTGTTAGGTACCAGTGTAGTGTGTTAGGTACCAGTGGGGTGTGTTAGGTACCAGTGGGTGTGTTAGGTACCAGTGGGGTGTGTTAGGTACCAGTGGGGTGTGTTAGGTACCAGTGGGGTGTGTTAGTTACCAGTGGGGTGTGTTAGGTACCAGTGGGGTGTGTTAGGTACCAGTGGGGTGTGTTAGGTACCAGTGTAGTGTGTTAGGTACCAGTGGGGTGTGTTAGGTACCAGTGGAGTGTGTTAGGTACCAGTGGGGTGTGTTAGGTACCAGTGGGGTGTGTTAGGTGCCAGTGGGGTGTGTTAGGTACCAATGGGGTGTGTTAGGTACCAGTGGGGTGTGTTAGGTACCAGTGGGGTGTGTTAGTTACCAGTGGGGTGTGTTAGGTACCAGTGGGGTGTGTTAGGTACCAGTGGGGTGTGTTAGGTACCAGTGGGGTGTGTTAGGTACCAGTGTAGTGTGTTAGGTACCAGTGGGGTGTGCTAGGTACCAGTGGGGTGTGTTAGGTACCAGTGGGGTGTGTTAGGTACCAGTGGGGTGTGTTAGGTACCAGTGGGGTGTGTTAGGTACCAGTGGGTGTGTTAGGTGCCAGTGGGGTGTGTTAGGTACCAGAGTAGTGTGTTAGGTACCAGTGGGGTGTGTTAGGTACCAGTGGGGTGTGTTAGGTACCAGTGGGGTGTGTTAGGTACCAGTGGGGTGTGTTAGGTACCAGTGGGGTGTGTTAGGTACCAGTGGGGTGTGTTAGTTACCAGTGGGGTGTGTTAGGTACCAGTGGGGTGTGTTAGGTACCAGTGGGGTGTGTTAGGTACCAGTGTAGTGTGTTAGGTACCAGTGGGGTGTGTTAGGTACCAGTGGAGTGTGTTAGGTACCAGTGGGGTGTGTTAGGTACCAGTGGGGTGTGTTAGGTGCCAGTGGGGTGTGTTAGGTACCAATGGGGTGTGTTAGGTACCAGTGGGGTGTGTTAGGTACCAGTGGGGTGTGGTTAGTTACCAGTGGGGTGTGTTAGGTACCAGTGGGGTGTGTTAGGTACCAGTGGGGTGTGTTAGGTACCAGTGTAGTGTGTTGGGTACCAGTGGGGTGTGTTAGGTACCAGTGGGGTGTGTTAGGTACCAGTGGGGTGTGTTAGGTACCAGTGGGGTGTGTTAGTTACCAGTGGGGTGTGTTAGGTACCAGTGGGGTGTGTTAGGTACCAGTGGGGTGTGTTAGGTACCAGTGTAGTGTGTTAGGTACCAGTGGGGTGTGTTAGGTACCAGTGGAGTGTGTTAGGTACCAGTGGGGTGTGTTAGGTACCATTGGGGTGTGTTAGGTGCCAGTGGGGTGTGTTAGGTACGAATGGGGTGTGTTAGGTACCAGTGGGGTGTGTTAGGTACCAATGGAGTGTGTTAGGTACCAGTGGGGTGTGTTAGGTACCAGTGGGGTGTGTTAGGTACCGGTGAGGTGTGTTAGGTACCAGTGGAGTGTGTTAGGTACCAGTGGGGTGTGTTAGGTACCAGTGGGGTGTGTTAGGTACCAGTAGGATGTGGTAGGTACCAGTGGGGTGTGTTAGGTACCAGTGGAGTGTGTTAAGTACCAGTGGGGTGTGTTAGGTACCAGTGGGGTGTGTTAGATACCAGTGGAGTGTGTTAGGTACCAGTGGGGTGTGTTAGGTACCAGTGGAGTGTGTTAGGTACCAGTGGAGTGTGTTAGGTACCAGTGGAGTGTGTTAGGTACCAGTGGGGTGTGTTAGGTACCAGTGGGGTGTGTTAGGTACCAGTGGGGTGTGTTAGGTACCAGTGGGATGTGTTAGGTACCAGTGGGGTGTGTTAGGTACCAGTGGGGTGTGTTAGGTACCAGTGGGGTGTGTTAGGTACCGGTTAGGTTTGTTAGGTACCAGTGGGGTGTGTTAGGTACCAGTGGGGTGTGTTAGGTACCAGTGGGGTGTGTTAGGAACCAGTGGGGTGTGTTAGGTACCAGTGGGGTGCGTTAGGTACCGGTGAGGTGTGTTAACTACCGGTGGGGTGTGTTAGGTACCGGTGAGGTGTGTTAGGTACCGGTGGGGTGTGTTAGGTACCGGTGGGGTGTGTTAGGTACCAGTGGGGTGTGTTAGGAACCAGTGGGGTGTGTTAGGTACCAGTGGGGTGTGTTAGGTACCAGTGGGGTGTGTTAGGTACCAGTGGGGTGTGTTAGGTACCAGTGGGGTGTGTTAGGTACCAGTGGGGTGTGTTAGGTACCGGTGGGGTGTGTTAGGGAGATAAGGTGTTTTTAACGGTGCTTTTGAAATTGATGGTCGAGTCGGCAGTTCTAGTTTTCAGGCAGTGAGTTCCAGATTTTAGGCCCTTTTAGGTACATTGAATTTTGGTATAGATTTACACACGAGGAATGTCGTAGAGATGTTTGTGTCTGGTATTATGCCTATGGGTCCTGTCACAACTATCAAGAAAGTGTTTTAGTTCAGGATTAATACTGGAATTTATGGTTCTGTAAATGTAGATTACAGAGTAGTAAGTGTGGATGTTCTGAACAGTGAGTAAGTTTAGGTCTTTGAAGATTGGGGGAGGGGGGAGGTTGTTGCCTAGCATTCGATTGTGTGATAATTCTTACAGTGGCTTTTTGTTGGGTTATTATTGGCTTTAGATGGGTAATTGCTGTTGATCCCCAAGCACAAATGGCATATGTGAGGTAGGGATCGATGAGTGAATAGTATAGTAAGAATAGGGCTGATTGTGGTATGTAGTAACGTATCTTGGAGAGGATCCCAACAGTTTTGGATACTTTTTTTTATGTGTTGGATATGGGTGTTGAAATTCAGGGTGCTGTCAAAAGTATAGGCCCAGGAATTTGCCCTCATTATGCTTAGCAATCGGAGCACTGTCGATCTTAATGTCGAGTTGTGCAACACCTGCTCTGTTATCAAACAGAATATAGAAGGTTTTGTCAGTGTTAAGTGTAAGTTTACTGGCTGTAATCCAGGTTGATGACTTGGGTTACCCAATCCTACATCTTGGTGACAGCGTTACACGTCTTGCAGCGTCGTTCATAATTGACACACCTGTGACCTATCTTAGGTGACGTCCTTAATCGACACACCTGTGACTTACCTCAAGTGACGTCCTTAGTTGATCCACCGGTGACCTACCTTAAGTGACGTCCTTAGTTGACCCACCTGTGAACCATATCCTAAGGTGACATCCCCAGTTAACTCACCTGTGAACCACCTCATCAGGTAACAGCCTCAGTTGGCCCACCTGCGACCTACTTTAGGAGACATCCTTAACTGACCCACCTGTGAGCCACCTCCTAAGGTGACATCCCCAGTTGACCCACCTGTGAACCACTTCCAAAGGTGACATCCCCAGTTGACCCACCTGTGAACCACATCCTAAGGTGATGTCCTCAGTTGACCCACCTGTGAACCACTTTCAAAGGTGACATCCCCAGTTGACCCACCTGTGAACCACATCCTAAGGTGACGTCCTCAGTTGACCCACCTGTGAACCACCTTTTAAGGTGACGTCCCAGTTGACCCACCTGTGAACCACCTTTTAAGGTGACGTCCTCAGTTGACCTACCTAACACTAAACCTCACTCTGGCTTGAGATATTCTGAGGCTGCAAGCGAGCAGTCTGTATCTCAAAATCGACTTAAATAATTGTAAAGATTACACTCAATCTGTAAATTACAAACTCACGACTAGACTTTGGAAATTGCTTGCAGCATCAGGGCGCGCGTGTGGCTAACTGATATAATAATAATGGCAGTCCACACATGACCCTGGAGCCTGAAGTGATGGTTAAGTCCAGTGCTAAGTTTTGAAACCGGACTTAGAATTACTTGTTTACTGTTTCTCGTTTAAGATATTTTGAAGACCAGAAGCCAGCATAATCAGTCCAAACCAGGGTACGGGTGGGGTACGAACTCATGGCCGGTACGTAAGCCACTCGGCCAGCAGGCTACGATAAGATTCATCCAACTAGGTATATTTCTATACACCGTAGGGAAGTTAGCATGGACCACCACTGTGACCACAAATGCAACTTTTTACAGGGGATCCCATGCTAACCTCGCTATGATGTATAGAAATATATCTAGTTGGATAAATCTTACTATAAACAACTGGCCCAGTGGCTTACGCAATAGACTGGAGTTTTACAACTCAGTCGCTGTGGGTTGAAACCCCACCCGTACCGTGGTTTGTTTGCAGTCATGTTATAATGATTCGTGAGAACATAATCAGTTAGGCGGCATCAAACATTCAACACTAGTGTATCTTACACATGGAAAGTCTGAATTAGTTTAGGGTTGTATACTGAAAAAATTGCTAATTCTCATAATTCTAATGAACAAATTTAAATATTTGAGTGAGGAGGCTGTGGTTAATGTGATGTCTGTTACGTGAAGCACAATACTGGGACCAAAACAATACACAAATATCCAGCACTGACCAGACAGAAATGTATGAAGACGTTTCGGTCTGTCTAGTTTATGGCCTAAGTCAGGTTGGAACATGGTCATAAATTTCAGTCTTCTAAATGCGGGTTATTTGTGTACCTGGTAACCTCTCGTAATGAAAAGAGACCGAAATACATTCACGTTGTTTTACATCGACAATATATATTATATATAATATATATATTATATAATATATTATAATATATTTATATTATATATATATATATATTATATATATAATAATGGGGTCCACCTCTGGTGTAATTTTGTGGGACCCATATATAATATATATATATATATATAATATATATATATATATATATATAATATATCTTGAAGGAACGGTATCAGTTTAGAATTGATCTTTGTTGAACCAAACATGTTTCTCTCACTTTTTGATGTCTCATTTCTTTTTATTTGTCGAGCTCGTTCTTGGTTCAGGTTCTCACTGATCTACTGAACCATGTTTCTTTCCCTTGACTGGTCTTCTAATTTCTGGGTTATTTGTTGCGTGGTAATGTGTCAAATGTTGTCTTGTAGTCGAGGAAGATGGAGTTCATCTATATCAATCTTTTTTATAACTTTCACTGATATACATCTCCAGCAAGATCTTATGATTCTTATAATTCTTATGTTCTCCAGATTCTTCAAAACCCATTTACTGACATGTCTGCCAAACGTTTGATAAAATGCATATAAAAACACTGACCTATACTTCCATGCCTCGTGTCTGTCATGTGTTTATAACTGAAGAACCACAGTGGTCTTTTTCCACTTTTCTTAAGCAGCTTCGTCTAGAGAGACTAAAGAGACCTGTAAAAATGTGTGAGTCTGAAAATATTCGGTCTAGCACCACTGTTTTGATATAATATTAATCTCATTTAGTAAATTTATAACTTCTAATGTTGTGTGAAGTTTATAGCGCCTGTTAGTCTAGCATAACTTCCTCACTCTCAGAAATCTCTGCTCTTTCTTCAGTGAAATCCTTCCTGAATCTTCTGCAAAACTCGTCGCGGTCTTTTTCATATTTCAATAGCTACCCTTCACCTCTTTCCAGTCTTATTTTGCCTTTTACAACCAGTTTCCTTTATTTATGTCGTTGTATGGGTACTTTACTTCAGTGTTTACCGTTGGTGGTATGCAATTTTTGACTTGTCTATGTTCCCTTGGTCTGAGTGTCACTGGAGTGCAGGAGTCAACAATCTTGTCTTTGTTCCCCTAATCTGAGTGTCACTGGAGTGAAGGAGTCAATAATTTTGTCTTTGTTCCCCTAGTCTGAGTGTCACTGGAATGTAGGAGTCAACAATCTTGTCTTTGTTCCCCTAGTCTGAGTGTCACTGGAGTGCAGGAGTCAACAATCTTGTCTTTGTTCCTCTAGTCTGAGTGTCACTGGAGTGCAGGAGTCAACAATCTTGTTTTTGTTCCCCTAGTCTTAGTGTCACTGGAATGTAGGAGTCAACAATCTTGTCTTTGTTCCCCTAGTCTGAGTGGCACTGGAGTGCAGGAGTCAACAATCTTGTCTTTGTTCCCCTAGTCTGAGTGTCACTGGAGTGCAGGAGTCAACAATCTTGTCTTTGTTCCCCTAGTCTGAGTGTCACTGGATGTAGGAGTCAACAATCTTGTTTTTGTTCCCCTAGTCTGAGTGTCACTGGATGCAGGAGTCAACAATCTTGTCTTTGTTCCCCTAGTCTGAGTGTCACTGGAGTGCAGGAGTCAACAATCTTGTCTTTGTTCCCCTAGTCTGAGTGTCACTGGAATGTAGGAGTCAACAATCTTGTCTTTGTTCCCCTAGTCTGAGTGTCACTGGAATGCAGGAGCCAACAATCTTGTCTTTGTTCCCGTAGTCTGAGTGTCACTGGAGCGCAGGAGTCAACAATCTTGTCTTTGTTTCCCTAGTATGAGTGTCACTGGAATGCAGGAGCCAACAATCTTGTCTTTGTTCCCCTAGTCTGAGCGTCACTGCAATGTAGGAGTCAACAATCTTGTCTTTGTTCCCCTAGTCTGAGTGTCACTGGAATGTAGGAGTCAACAATCTTGTCTTTGTTCCCCTAGTCTGAGTGTCACTGGAATGCAGGAGTCAACAATCTTGTCTTTGTTCCCGTAGTCTGAGTGTCACTGGAGCGCAGGAGTCAACAATCTTGTCTTTGTTTCCCTAGTATGAGTGTCACTGGAATGCAGGAGCCAACAATCTTGTCTTTGTTCCCCTAGTCTGAGCGTCACTGCAATGTAGGAGTCAACAATCTTGTCTTTGTTCCCCTAGTCTGAGTGTCACTGGAATGTAGGAGCCAACAATCTTGTCTTTGTTCCCGTAGTCTGAGTGTCACTGGAGTGCAGGAGTCAACAATTTAAAATAACACAGAGTAAAATAATAAATTTATTGCAGGAAAGTGCTCATTTTACGTATCCAGAGAAGAATTTCTGCAGATAATGATTGCGATGATCAGTCAAAAGGACAGTCCACTTGTACCAGCTGTAAATAAGAGGTAAAGTAAAATGCCTGGAATATTTTGCCATTGTGTAGAGTATTATAAAAAAGAATAGATTACGCCGTGAAAAAATCCTGTTACTGAAATAACGTACCTATATCGCGGCTTAAAAGACGCGGCTTATAAGAATTGTTTTACTTTCAATGGCTCAGAATCAGACTTAACTGGGAGAGCTACAGTTCCACCTCACACCTCAGACTAATACCTCCCGTCAATGACCCTCAGTTTATAGGATGAATTGTGGTTTTTGGAGATATTTTATGAAAAAATATGCGTCTAATAAGCCGCGAAATAGGGTATTAGTACAAGGTATTCATTATAATTTTCCGAGATGAAGAACAGAAAAAGTGTACATAACATTGTATAGGAACTAGATACAAGTCTAGAGTGCCTGGGCAGGAAAGCACCTAGCCTGGGCAGGAAAGCACCTCGCCTGGGCAAGAAAGCACCTCGCTTGGGCAGGAAAGCACTTCGCCTGGGCAGGAAAGGACCTCGCCTTGGCAGGAAAGCACCTCGCTTGGGCAGGAAAGCACCTCGCCTGGGCAGGAAAGCACTCGCCTGACAAGAAAAGCACCTTCGCTTGGGCAGGAAAGCACCTCGCCTGGGCAGGAAAACACCTCGCCTGGGCAGGAAAGCACCTCGCCTGGGCAGGAAAGCACCTCGCCTGGGCAAGAAAGCACCTCGCTTGGGCAGGAAAGCACCTCGCCTGGGCAGGAAAGCACCTCGCCTGGGCAGGAAAGCACCTCGCCTGGACAAGAAAGCAGCTCGCTTGGGCAGGAAAGCACCTCGCCTAGACAAGAAAGCACCTCGCCTGGGAAGGAAAGCACCTCACCTAAGGAGGAAAGCACCTCGCTTGGGCAGGAAAGCACCTCGCCTGGGAAAGAAAGCACCTCGTCTGGGAAGGAAAGCACCCTGCCTGGGCAGGAAAGGACCTCGCTTGGGAAGGAAAGCACCTCGCTTGGGCAGGAAAATACCTCACCTGGGAAGGAAAGCACCTCGCCTGGGCAAGAAAGCACCTCGCCTAGGAAAGAAAGCACCTCGCATGGGGAGGAAAGTACCTGGCCTGGGCAGGAAAGCACCTCGCCTGGGCAGGAAAGCACCTCGCCTGGGAAGGAAAGCACCCTGCCTGGGAAGGAAAGCACCTCGCCTGTGCAAGAAAGCACCTCGCCTGGGCAAGAAAGGACCTCGCCTGCGAAGGAAAGCACTTCGCCTGGGCAAGAAAGCACTTCGCCTGGGCAAGAAAGCACTTCACCTGGGCAGGAAAGAACCACGCCTGGGCAGGAAAGCACCTCGCCTGGGAAGGAAAGCACCTCGCCTGGGCAGGAAAGCACCTCGCCTGGGCAGGAAAGCTCCTAGCCTGGGCAGGAAAGCACTTCGTCTGGGCAGGGAAACACCTCGCCTGTTCAAGAAAGCACCTAGCCTGGGCAGGGAAATACCTCGCCTGGGCAGGAAAGCACCTGGCCTGGGCAGGAAAGCACCTCGCCTGGGCAGGAAAGCACCTTGCCTGGGCAAGAAAGGACTTCGCCTGGGTAGGGAAATACCTCGCCTGGGCAGGAAAGCACCTCGCCTGGGCAGGAAAGCACCTCGCCTGGGCAGGGAAATACCTCGCCTGGGCAGGAAAGCACCTGGCCTGGGCAGGAAAGCACCTCGCCTGGGCAGGAAAGCACCTTGCCTGGGCAAGAAAGGACTTCGCCTGGGTAGGGAAATACCTCGCCTGGGCAGGAAAGCACCTCGCCTGGGCAGGAAAGCACCTCGCCTGGGCAGGAAAGCATCTTGCCTGGGCAAGAAAGGACTTCGCCTGGGTAGGGAAGCACCTCGCCTGGGCAGAAAAGCACCTCGCCTGGCCAGGAAAGCACCTCGCCTTGGAAGGAAAGCACCTCGCCTGGTCAAGAAAGTACCTTGCCTGGGCAGGAAAGTACTTTGCCTGGGCAGGGAAACACCTCGCCTGGGAAGGAAAGCACCTCTCCTGGGCAAGAAAGCACCTCGCCTGGGCAGGAAAGCACCTCGCCTGGGCAGGAAAGCACCCCGCCTGGGAAGGAAAGCGCCTCGCCTGGGAAAGAAAGCACTTCCACTGGGCAGGGAAACACCTCGCCTGGGCAGGAAAGCACCTCGCCTGTGCAAGAAAGCACCTCGCCTGGGCAAGAAAGGACCTCGCCTGGGAAGGAAAGCACCTCGCCTGGGCAAGAAAGCACTTCGCCTGGGCAAGAAAGCACTTCACCTGGGCAGGAAAGCACCTCGCCTGGGCAGGAAAGCACCTCGCCTGGGAAGGAAAACACCTCGCCTGGGCAGGAAAGAACCTCGCCTGGGCAGGAAAGCTCCTCGCCTGGGCAGGAAAGCACTTCGTCTGGGCAGGGAAACACCTCGCCTGGGCAAGAAAGCACCTCGCCTGGGCAGGAAAGCACCTCGCCTGGGCAGGGAAACACCTCGCCTGGGCAGGAAAGCACCTCGCCTGTGCAAGAAAGCACCTCGCCTGGGCAAGAAAGGACCTCGCCTGGGAAGGAAAGCACCTCGCCTGGGCAAGAAAGCACTTCGCCTGGGCAAGAAAGCACTTCACCTGGGCAGGAAAGCACCTCGCCTGGGCAGGAAAGCTCCTCGCCTGGGCAGGAAAGCACTTCGTCTGGGCAGGGAAACACCTCGCCTGGGCAAGAAAGCACCTCGCCTGGGCAGGAAAGCACCTCGCCTGGGCAGGGAAATACCTCGCCAGGGCAGGAAAGCACCTCGCCTGGGCAGGAAAGCACCTCGCCTGGGCAGGAAAGCACCTCGCCTGGGAAGGAAAGCACCTCGCTTGGGGAGGAAAGCACCTCGCCTTGGAAAGAAAGCACTTCGCCTGGGCAAGAAAGCACCTCGCCTGGGCAGGAAAGAACTTCGCCTGGGCAAGAAAGCACCTCGCCTGCACAGAGAAGCACCTCATCTGCCCAGGAAAGCATCTCGCCTGGGCAAGAAAGCATCTCGCCTGGGCATGAGAGCGCCTCGCATGGGAAGGAAAGCACCTCGCCTGGGCATGAAAGCACCTCGCCTGGTAAGGAAAGCACCACTCCTGGGCATGAAAGCACCTCGCCTTGGCAAGAAAGCACCTCGCCTGGGCAAGAAAGCACATCGCCTGCGCAGGGAAGCACCTCGCCAGGGCAAGAGAGCACCTCGCCAACGCAGGGAAGCACCTCGCTGGGCAGGGAAACAACTCGCCTGGGCAGGAAAGCACAACGCCTGGGCAGGAAAGCACCTCGCCTGGACAAGAAAGCACCTCGCCTGGGCAGGAAAGCACCTCGCCTGGGCAAGAAAACACCTCGCCTGGGCATGAAAGCATGTCGCCTGGTAAGGAAAGCACCACTCCTCGGCATGAAAGCACCTCGCCTGGGCAAGAAAACACCTCGCCTGGGCAAGAAAACACATCGCCTGCGCAGGGAAGCACCTCGCCTGGGCAAGAGAGCACCTCGCCTACGCAGGGAAGCACCTCGCCTGGGCAAGAAAGCACCTCGCCTGGGCAGGAAAGCATCTCGCCTGGGCAGAAAAGCACATCGCCTGGGCAGGGAAGCACCTCGTCTGGGCAGGAAAGCAGCTCGCCTGGGCAAGAAAGCACATCGCCTGCGCAGAAAAGCACCTCGCCTGGGCAGGAAAGCACCTCGCCTAGGCAGGAAAGCACCTCGCCTGGGCAGGAAAGCACCTCGCCTGGGCAGGAAAGCACAACGCCTGGGCAGGAAAGCACCTCGCTTGGGCAAGAAAGCACCTCGCCTGGGCAGGAAAGCACCTCGCCTGGGTAGGAAAGCACCTCGCCTGGGCAGGAAAGAAACTCGTCTGGGCAGGGAAACACCTCGCTTGGGCAGGAAAGCACCTCGCCTGGGCAGGAAAGCACCTCGCCTGGGCAGGAAAGCACCTCGCCTGGGAAGGAAAGCACCCAGCTTGGGAAAGAAAGCACCTCGCCTGTGCAAGAAAGCACCTCGCCTGGGCAAGAAAGGACCTCGCCTGGGAAGGAAAGCACCTCGCCTGGGCAAGAAAGCACTTCGCCTGGGCAAGAAAGCACTTCACCTGGGCAGGAAAGCACCTCGCCTGGGCAGGAAAGCACCTCGCCTGGGAAGGAAAGCACCTCGCCTGGGCAGGAAAGCACCTCGCTTGGGCAGGAAAGCTCCTCGCCTGGGCAGGAAAGCACTTCGTCTGGGCAGGGAAACACCTCGCCTGCGCAAGAAAGCACCTCGCCTGGGCAGGAAAGCACCTCGCCTGGGCAGGGAAATACCTCGCCTGGGCAGGAAAGCACCTGACCTGGGCAGGAAAGGACCTCGCCTGGGCAGGAAAGCGCCTTGCCTGGGCAAGAAAGGACTTCGCCTGGGTAGGGAAATACCTCGCCTGGGCAAGAAAGCACCTCGCCTGGGCAGGAAAGCACCTCGCCTGGGCAGGAAAGCGCCTTGCCTGGGCAAGAAAGGACTTCGCCTGGGTAGAGAAATACCTCGCCTGGGCAGGAAAGCACCTCGCCTGGGCAGGAAAGCACCTCGCCTGGGCAGGAAAGCACCTTGCCTGGGCAAGAAAGGACTTCGTCTGGGTAGGGAAGCACCTCGCACTGGGCAGAAAAGCACCTCGCCGGACCAGGAAAGCACCTCGCCTTGGAAGGAAAGCACCTCGCCTGGTCAAGAAAGTACCTTGCCTGGGCAGGAAAATACTTTGCCTGGGCAGGGAAACACCTCGCCTGGGAAGGAAAGCACCTCTCGTGGGCAAGAAAGCACCTCGCCTGGGCAGGAAAGCACCTCGCCTGGGCAGGAAAGCACCCCGCCTGGGAAGGAAAGCACCTCGCCTGGGAAAGAAAGCACTTCGCCTGGGCAGGGAAACACCTCGCCTGGGCAGGAAAGCACCTCGCCTGTGCAAGAAAGCACCTCGCCTGGGCAAGAAAGGACCTCGCCTGGGAAGGAAAGCACCTCGCCTGGGCAAGAAAGCACTTCGCTTGGGCAAGAAAGCACTTCACCTGGGCAGGAAAGCACCTCGCCTGGGCAGGAAAGCACCTCGCCTGGGAA